TGATGTGATTATTATAGCTAAAACAGTTGTATATTATGGTGGAAGTCATATAATCAATTCTGTGGTTAGCCTAACGTTGCAACGGAATGGAGGAAGATGTGGAATTAATATGGGATAATTGGGTCAGAAAAAGTTCCACGGAAGAAAGGTAGGTAGATTCAGATTAACTAGACACATCGAACTGAAAAGGGGTGAATACCGGGTGAAATGTACTGATAATAGGCTGAGGGGGTTATAAAATATTTCAGTTTCTGCGATACACGCAGGACGGTAGATTTAAATTCCGTTATAAATAGACAGTTTATAATCATAACTATTGAGAACAACTAACGGGATTAATCTATTTTTCATAGATCCGGTGTTTTTTTGTCACAAAACTGTCAACCGATGTTTATACTACTTATTAGCACCTACTACTGTTTACCCTGCTATGTCGCAGTTCCTGAAATTTACTCACATTTTCGAATTCCCGAGGGGTGCGACATAGCAGGAGATTGACTGTACGTGTACACAAGTTCATAGTGGAAGTGAATCAACGGCAGGTTCATCATGGGTCGGTAGACCGGTGTGTATGGGTCTGATGGCTAAGAGCAAATCACTGTAATTAAAGCAGTCGTTTCCCGAAATAAACTTCTTAAAGAACATAACACTGCAACTGAGCTTGAGTTTATTCCGGAATCATTTCAATGCACATCAGCTGGTGCTTAGTGCAAAAAGCAAAATAGTTTATATATCACAGAAAGTGATAACCTAACACAGTACCAATCTACTCTTCCACGTACGTCATTGCCACCCCATTGTCAGCCTGATGTAGACCACCTTCTGCCGTAACAACACATTCTTTGATGTTTGGTTGCTATAACCTTCGTAAATGCTGACAACCGGTCATTCGGAGTTGTGTAAAACCCGAAACGAAACCACACGATCGGATTGGTGACCAGTCAGAAGCATATGGTGAGCAATTCACGACACAAGTGCTCCGTGTGACTGGTTGTTTGTGTGGCCCTCAGTTCTATCCCTTCGCGTGAGACACATACTGGCATGTGCTCAGCCACTGAGGCATGCAATAGAGCCTCTGTTTTGCTCACGTGGTTGACTCGACACCCACATCGAAATATATAGGTTACACGCGATTCCGCGGACAGAGGGAGTAGTATATTCACCAATGGTTTCCGATTGCTGTGAAGTAAATTACCGGATTGAAATCTACAGTCACCACCAACCGTCTTCGTATGAGTCAGTTCATATTATCACCTTAGGACAGCAGCTGAATTGGAACGTCGCAATTTGGCAGTACCAACTCCGAAATCTTAGGCTTACATTTTTCACTGAACCATTGTATGAATCTCACTGGGTCACCATTGAGCTTCAGAGCTTTCCTAAGCCGAAGTGCACAGCCGTCCGGCTCAGTCAAATAAGGTAGGAACAAGGCCTAATTTTTGCTGGATTGATGTAAAGCTACCGGCATGCATTTACTGATCGGTGTACATGGATTTTCGGTATACAGGCTTCCAAATAGTCCCGTCCGCCCTTCGACCGGAAATGGGAGTGTCGTTTTGCTCGGTTACAATAGTGATGTCCTTGTGAAGCAAATTCAATTCAGCTAACAACACGTCTTCCCACCGCTTCGGGTGATTATCAACTAATCACTGATGTTTCTCACGCACAGAACAATGATATTCAATGTTCAGCTGGCTTTGTTTTCCAAATTAACCCTGAATACATCAGCTATAACAGGACCCAACGGGTCAGCCTAACCCCGATTTTCCGTAAGTTTGACTGCTCGACCAAAGCCACCATATTGATCTTTCTCTCGGATGAAATCTAGTTATTTAGTGAGAATTGTGGTAACCGAGCAAACGTATCATGCAATAAACGTAAGGGATTGCCCACTAAAAGGATAGTTAAATAGGTCATGACTTTTCCTTGATTAAGAGAGAGAGGGTATTGCAGCTTGCACACTTTCAACAAACCGTTTCATTGTTCGTGCAAGCATTATAAGCCGGCAGAGTATTATATTTACTGATGCAGTTTCGAAAGGTCGGTCACGAAGGCCACCAGAATAACGTAAGGATGAGTTAGCAGATACATAAGATCGCTCTCGATAATTGCTTAGGGTGACCTGTGCCGATTTCAGAAGCCATACATTTGAAATTAAATGACTGGAAATGATTGTTCGATACCGGCCTTAAAACCGATCTGTGACTAATTCTAGAGGCGTGTACGCGTTTGATTGTACCGGACGTTTCGTCCCTTACCCAAGGGATTCGTGTAGGGATCAGCCCGATATCCGTTTTATCAGCCCGGTACCCAATCACTTATCAAGTTTACCTAGCTAGCCATCGATGCACCTATTTTTAAAGGCAAGTTTAATTTGACTTGGGGTACTTGACAAAGGATTAATAGTTACAAGACTACTGAATGATGGAAGCGAGTAATGAAAGTGTGGGAACCAAACGTCACTACAATTCATCTGGGTAGAGCTCAACTAGTTTATTACCCTTTAACCGCATTGACGCTGATAAATCTGATGAATTTGAACTGACAATGATGCACAACAAAGTTAAAACAGAGGATCAGGGACTCCCAGCTTTTCAGCTCATGTTTACTTCAGTCTACATAAGAGTTGTTCGATTTTATATTAGTTGAACTTTCCACTGGCTTACGTGTAAACAAAGTACATCTTATTCATTTCGCTCTGGATCTGATTATTAAGTTCAGATGAGAATCAATAGGTCAATCTCGTTTTACCTTGATAATTGGTATGATTTAAATCAGGTCCGAAAGAGTTCCAAGTGTTTCTTAAATTGTTTTGAAACTCATGCAGGTTTTATTCTGCATAATGATGCAATTTGATTACCTGATGTGAGAAACCGAGATTAGAAATAATACATCCGCACAATGCATATACGCTGTTCACCAGGAGGTCATAAATTTACGCCTGACTCTCGTTGAAATGCAAGCGCTGCACAATGATTTGATTGCTTAACATTGAAAATGAAAGTCTCTTGATCATTTGAGTACCTTTTCTTGTCGCGCAGTCTTGAACTGAGGGTTCAGTGTCCTGACCTCAACTACAGATGACTGCTACGGTGAACAGTAAGAATAGAACAAAAACGAATCACGTTGATTCAATTCGAAAATGCACATTATAATTTCCTTTTGCTTTGTTTCAATAATCTCCTGGTTTCCAAATATAAAACCAACTTTTATTCAGTACAGCAGTCAAAGCAAATAGTATCATTGTGCTGATTTACTGTGAACCAAGAAAAATAACAATCCATTTAGGACCGGAAAAGCGGTAAGTCCGAGTGTGAATAGGAGCAGATCATAAACTCTCCGTGGTTTTCAATTTTGTCTGAACTACATTGTGAGCAAAACTATCATCTCATGAGCGGTATAGAGCATTCAGACTGCTGTAGGTTCACAGGCAAGAGATTTACTAAACTTGGGCCACGCTTTGGAAATGAAGGAATGTGGAATGTACTGCATGAACAAAGCCAAAATGGCATGTGGCAAATAGCCGCAGGTTTCGTCCTCTATGCCAAGCATGGTGAGTGAACTGTGCACAAATTTGTCGGGAGATGGTGCCCAAATGGTGCCTGCTTTGCTTGTGAACGTAGACCGTCGACTTAGAGTCAACGGACCGGGGCAGACCGCTTGAATAGTGATGGATGGTAGACGTAACTCGTTGCGCAAACTTCTAGAGAAAGCAGGGGCAAAGCACTTGGAGGCTGCATACAACGAATATTTCGGGCAAGAAATTGTGGCCAAGGCAGAGCTAACGTTGATTATAGAAGCCTTAAAAGGTACTTGGTGGATCATTTTCGGCAGACAAATTCGTGTGATTGCAGCCATAGACTGAACATTGCAAAGAATCATTCGTTCCACAAAATCGAGACTCTCCATTGAGCCTTTTGACATCATTGGCTGTTCAGTCGGGTCACAACGGAACTCGGCTGCATTAACCAAACAACCGATGGACGGCAGGCTACTGATTCTTCTGTTGATTTCCTCATAATCCTTTGACTGAAGTGGGAAGGAATGGAACAAACATACCAAGAAGGTATAGTAAGATAGAAGTTCAAACCATATAGAAGTAATAAAGTACTATTGTATTCAGTACGTTTCGGAGTGCCATAATCAACGAAATGGCTCGAGATTGATGAACACGTACCACCCAACTGTACGCAAGTGCATCTCGCCTCAGCCTTTGTGTTCCTTAAGGCGAATAATTGGGAATGAAATTAGAAGCGCACAACGAGTAAAGTCTGCACAAAGAAACAATAGCTTTACAATATGAAACATGCATGACAACACGATGGATCATATACAGGAGAATAAATAGCTTCATTACCTTGATTTTGCAACAATTTAATCATTTTCCCTCGAAAGAATACATATTTTCCACTTTTCTGTAACAGAAGCCCAAACCATGTATGCATCTTTTGATTTTATGCTTATCCTTACTAGTGTTATCACTAAAATAACTATCAGAAACATTTTGCAACTCACAGGTTTAAAATGTTCAGGTAGAGGGAAAACGACATCAAACATCTGGTTTTGGTCACGGAGTAAAGCTATCAGTTCGACGAATCAGTTGCCAAGGCCCCGGAAAGAATAAACTAACCGGAAGGAAAAAACGGTTTCAGTTTCAGCCTGAACAACCATTAATCATTTACCTTCGTGTGGCATAGTCTGTTAGCGATCAAGGACAGAAGAAGAAAGACGCTGTTTGATTGATTGTTACAAGCTAATAACCACAAAAACAACGGATAAAAATGAATCAAACATGCTTTCCAAGATAGATCATGAAGGAGTACAGAAGGGCACAACGTCACATGATAAAATGAGGTTCGTGGCCCTAGATTCTCAATATCACAAATGAAGTAAGAACGCCCAATACGATCCGAAAGAATCTCATATAATTAAGTTGATGTATAGATCGAACTGATGCGGTAAACATCGAGTAGAGAAATCTAGCATAGAACCGCGTGTGGAACATATGAAATGTGTTTGTCACTGGGCACTCATTCTATGTAGTGTTATAGGCAGCAATGCGATGAAAACGTTTTAAAAAATAAATAAATCCACTTCGAACGATGCTTCACCGTGCCTCAAAGACTGTAATTAAAACAATGCACCTCATCCACGCTGAAACCGAGGCAAATGAGAACAGAACAAGCACGAACATGTCAAACTGATTCCAAGCTATGCTTTCATGATTTCTTTTGTTTTACCATGCTTACCGACTCCAAAATAAAAGCTCCAATTATTCCAAGCAATCACGCTTCATAAATGAACAGGCAAAACAGTGCGCAAAGTGAATTTGAATAAACTGCGTTCCGGTTTTTCATTGACAATTAAAATAAATCTTATTCACTTATGCTTGCAATCCATCTTCCTCGTGTCTGGGAAAGCGTCACACGGGATGCTCCCAGCGGATTTATTCTGACAACGCTCTCATCGATTAATTATACACCACTTGAATATAGATAAAGACAAGAAAGAGTTAGTTTCGAAATTAACTTTACATAAGTTCGTAAAATCATTAACCATGCACTTTTGTGCTGTGGTTTTGGTTGCTGTCTTTTGGCTGCCCGTTTGGGTGAAGCCGTAGAAGATATATACGATGAATGTTTTGAAGAACGTAAGTTTAAGAATTGAAAGCAGTATGGAGCGAATTCCGGTGGACCAACCACCATTAACGACACAACCATATCTCTCACTGTGCAGACGATATTGTACTGCTAGGTGAAGATCTGGGTAGGCTGCAAGATTTTCTGGATAGTTTGGATGCTAATGTAACCATCTTCGGTTTGCGTTTTGCACCTTCAAAGTGTAAAATGTTGATACAAGATTGGATTGGTTCATCTCTCAGTCTCACTGGGGTAGTGATAGAGAAATTGGAGAAATTTTGTAATTTTGGCAGCTATATCTCACTCGGTGGACGCATCACGGATGAAGTGTCGGTACGCCTACAGAAGGCGCGATGGGCATTTGCCAACTTGAGACATCTGTGGCGCTGTTGCAACATCCGGCTATCCGTGAAGGATGGAGTGCAGTACTGGTCGATTGTGATGCACTGAAATATTTTCTCTATGATCAAATGAAGTTTCATTATATTTGTTACTTGGTTTAATGCTTTATGTATGGACAATAATTTATATCGTGTCTGCTGGGGTCTAGGTAGTTTCTAGGTTGCATAAATGTCAATTAAACGTGCGTGACCTTGGTTGCTAAGATTAAATGATCTGAACATGAAAAACGCAAACTTTATCAAGTATGGAAACGCTGTGGCAGTTCGGTCAGTTCTGTTATACGGCACGGGAACTTTACCATTAAGAAAACGGGATAAACACAGACTAAGTGTTTGAACACCACTGCCTAAGAAGCACTGCACGAATCTGGTGGGGAAACGGGACGAGCAATGCTGAAGTTAGATGCATAGTTCTGGATAACCGCAGTCGCCCCCTGGAGCAAGTAGTCAACCTACTTAGATTACCTTTGTTGGGGTGTGTTACGCATGTCACCAAATAGATTGCCACTGCGAGCGATGCTTGCTGAGACAGGCAGTGGGTGGAATAAAACGAAGGGCGATCAGATTAAGATATGGTAAGAGGGTATGAAAACCCTAACCAGGAGACTGGTCCACATGGGTCCCACTAGGCTCCCTGGATGGGGACCTCGGGATNTAGAGACACTGGGTGCTATTGCTGCGTGTCGTAAACAATGGCGTCCGTGCATCTTAATTTCCTTGCAACTTTAGTCTCCATTTTCTCTTCGACTCTACTGTGATCTTTCCTGTTTTTATTCAACTGTTCATCCAAATGGACAGGCAAAAGATAGCAACCAAAACCAGTGCAGAAAAGTGCATGGTTAATGGTTGTACAAACTGAAACAGGTAGTTCTTATGCTAATATGAACACTTAAGTTTTCATTTTTAGTTGTTGTAGTTTTCCTGTTGGTGAAAATACACACGAGGGCACTCGAACACAACGAACAACAATACGCATGGAAAATTAGGGGATAGCCTTTTTTTCTCTTTGCAGATCAAACCTGGTAAAATACAAGACCAAATTTATCAAAACTCACCCTACTTGAAACGTCAGAATCAGCCAAAGAATTAAAATTCATTAATCTACTCATTGCTTGGGTACTAGTCACCAACTTAGTGGTTAAGCGGGTTTGAACTACGAAGTAACCTTTTTTCAACGATCCTACCGGAACGTCTGAGGTCATCTGCACTTATTATTCACATAGTGACGTTTATACCAATTACTAAACTAATCTTTCGAAAAAAGAATGGTTGAAAGGATTGTTGTTGATGGCAGAAAAACACTTCAAAAAATTGATGATATCATAATACGACAGGTGTTTCACCTGTTTCCCTGTTTTCAGACTAGAACACTATTTTGCTCTGTGAACCTATTACTGTGCATCTCAGTTCCCGGTTTATTCAACTTTGCCAACTGAAACTGTTTTCATGTATGAAGACAAACAATCATCATCGTCATACTTCGGCAGGTGGAAATAACATGCCTACAAATATGGACAGTGAACCCAAGCCAAGAGGCTTACAAGATCAAGATCATGATCAAATCTGAAACTAACAGCCTAAATAAGTTGCACACAAACACCATCCTGAGGGTTTTCATTTGTGGCAGTACTAATCATCGCACGAAGCAAGCTGTCAGTATTGAAAAATTCAAATCTGAGTTCAACCAAATTTCACAGTGGACTGCTCTAACAGTCTTCAATAACCCTACGCCATCACCAACTATCTAACTCACCATGTTCCCAACAGCTGCAGGAAGTTAGGATAGATAGAGCTTCCGGTCTGAATGAGCTACCCACCCACAGTACTCAAGGTATGTGCGAACGTCCTTTCAGTTTCACGATCTAACATTTCCAATGACTGTCTAGTAAGTGGGAAAAATCCTGACATTCGAAAACTGGCCAAGATAACTCCCTTCTCATAAAAGGAACCTCGAAAGTACCGTCCCATTACCCGCACATCAGTCATGCTCAGATTGAGTCATGCCGCCGTGAGTTATCACAAGTCGTATGACTAACACCAATTTGCTTACTGCTCTGCGCGCTCCACATTTGACGGCGTTACTTATCTTGGTCATTCAATAATGCCATCTCTGGACAAAAAGTATAAGGTGATAAGACTGTCGTTCTTTTAGATTACGAAAACGCGCCCGGCAGCCTTGGTCAATCAAACTTGTTCAGTCTGATTGCCGAAATCGGTGTTAACTCGAATGCTTGCAAGTCTGTCGGGTATTATGTTATAGATTGAACACATTTCACCTGCATCAATGACAAGAAATTTTCTACTCGGTCTGCTACTTCTGTTGCTCTACAAAGTTTATTTACCTCACATTTTTCTTTTCTCGTATGTCACTCAACCTCTCATTCGTTCAGTATCCACTGGCTGCAATAATGACGATATAACATGCTCACTCCTAAAGAGGCATCAGCAACTAAAAAAAATTGAATGACGTCACTAACTGAACCATATTCCGTTTCCTTATACCATATGGTAAATTGTAAGCGGCTCTTTCTTCCCGGTTGTTCGATAACCCACATTGATCACTCGCTAACAGGTTCCTCCGTTTCGGGTAATCATTAACGGATACAAATATCAAAGAAGGTTGAATATCTTGGTGTCACAAATATGACGCGACTTAAGGAGACGTTCTGGAAAGTTATAGGGCTATCCTATTTCTCACTCCAGTTAAGAGTAATTTTTTCCAACTTGGAGGTTAAATTTGTGAAAACATGCGAACTCAACAGTCGGTTCACTGGTCTGCAGTTCCTTTTCCCAGTCAGACATGATCACTAACACACGTATATGAATCCAGGTAGTGTTAAAGGAAACACTTTTAAACTTGATCATGGATAGACACCTAAATGCATATTACAATTTCATCTCAAAAATACTCTCGGGCACTTCCATATCCAAAGCTATTGTGTAAAACAGTTGAAAATTCGCCTACGTGGCTGCACCGAATTGACTTTCAAACAAGTGAAAAGGACCGACAGGTTTTCACCTGGGCTCTGGTTTTATCTAATGTGTGCGTTTCGTTCTTTTGTCTGAAGAAACACTTGAAATGATTTCCTAAGCCAATGGTTTCCATATGAAACATACCGTTGTCAAATCCGCTGCCACCAATTGCGTAAGAACTCCGTACGTCTGACCGATATGTGTGGCCAACTCTTCCAATGCATTTTTATCCTTGTCCAGCAATAGAACATGCAGTTTCTCTCCTGCCAGTTCGCATACATAAGCTCGACCCAATGGCCCACATGCTCCAGTCACAACGGCCCAATCACCGGACACTCGAATGCAGTTACGGGCTGACCAGTGTTTCACACCGTACGTGTAGTTCACCACAATCCGGATCAATGGGAATAAAATGTTCCAACATAGCCACGTCAAGGGCAGCAGAATGAGAATCACGAAGATCATCGCGGTCAACACTGTCAGTATCTATCACGTTCAGTTACAGAAACGCTCCATTTCTACTGAACGTCGTCTGGTCACGTGACATCCAATCAATATTCCCGTCTTACTAGTGCGGAATACTGGGCGTGTGCTAGACAGATGCGGTTCGAAAAAAACTACGCTATCTCACAGCGGATTGGAGACATGCAGGTAGTGCGCCAGACACTCATGTAGCAGCCGAAGTGATCGCACGCTTTCCATGTTGATGCGCTTATTGGTCAGTGTTTCAATGCAGTACGCAAAATGCTGATAAACGCACCCACTCTTTTCTATTTATCTATACCATTTCGAGATTAATTTGAGAACCTATCACTTTGACTTGCGAATCCGTCTTTTTAAATTAAGAAACCATCACTTTGGACGGAGAAAATGTCAAATCGAGATGTGAAAGGAAGGAACGCTGCGGTTAGATCCGCTTCTGTTCAGCGCACCTCATTGGACAAGTGGTCACACGAGTTTTTTACCCGCGAATTGACCATCTGTCTTCCAAAGCTCTTCCTGTGTTAAAATGAAGCAGACCCCGGTCGTGCATCTTGTCGATTTCGCTGACGGATGTTGATTCGGTGGTGAAGCCGTGAGATTTGCGTGAGACAGCTAAGCTGGACTGCTAAATGAGCAAACTACCACAGTAAGGCATGCATGGTCCAGTAATTCTACATACACACACACACACACACACAAATCTATCGTCGCAACAACTCTAACATTCCCAATTTAAGATGTCCGAATATCAATTTAAGATGTCATGTTGCTATGTAGATAGTACTATAGTGCGATTGCTCCGTCGTGTCACATTGTCTCGTACTTTTTGTGATGCTTTTGTTGTCACGTTCAGTCCATCCGTCTGGTGATGGCAAGCCTGCTGTACAGCCGNTCACTGGGCCTGCCAACGTCTCGCGGCTGTAAACAAGGTGTCTTCTCGCTCGGGTTAGCCAAGCAAGCACCCTTGTTGCGGCTGAACCACCCGACCGATCGATAACTTAATCCGATCAGTCGTGTGATTTTCGGGCCGGCATAGGAGGAGGATAAGTTCGGAATCCGATGCTGCTTGAGTGTTGGTAGAGAATCACCACAAGAGAATCAGTTCTGAAACGATGCACCATGTGGGAAATTCGGAAAAAAATACGTTCAAGCGATGATGAAACTGGACCAACGTTTGACTCGTCCAAGATACATTAATTATTTTTCCACGCGGGTTCGGTAAACGGATAATCATAATAAAACTAAACTTGTCTTAAGCACGGACTACAATATCCACTAATACAGTCCAACGCGAAAATCTTCTTGCAATTTTACCAACTGGCTTGTTCGTGTTGAACGATTTTGCTAACTGTGTTAAAGATGGAAGGAGGGAAAAATATTACGGACAAACGCATATTTATTTTACAAAAGTTGTTCACCGTGTGACCAAATACATTGAAGATAGTATTCTCCTACTTTCAGAATAGTAGCAGTTGGAATACTTTCGTACTGCGCGACGATGAGAAGTTTATTCGATTCGGAATTTAACTGCACATGGATTGGCCGAGGAGGCCCAAAGGGATGGTCTAGAATATTTGTCGCCCTTGGATTTCTTTCTGTGGATTTATTCCAACTGCTACTATTCTGAAGGTGGGAGAAAACTATCGTATAGTGAACAACTTTTGTAAAATAAATATGCATTTATTCATATGTTTACCTCCCCCACACGAGTCTTTAGCAGGCCCAGTGAACTGCAGGCTTGTCATCACCAGACGGATGAAATGAACGTGACAACAAAAGCATCACAAAAAGTACAAGACAATGTGACATGACGGAGCCATCGCACTTTCGTACTTTCTACGTAGCAACATGACATCTTAAATTGATATTCGGATATCTTAAATCGAAAAAGATTGATAGATTGATCTTGTATAGCCCCGTTAGTGCACCGCTCGGAGTACACCGAAAGCACAAAACTTGTCCTTGGTCGTAGTTATTGTGGTGAGCTTTGATTATTTAGCTATCGTCATGTCCTTACAACTACGACCGTTTGTACTTAAGCTATAGTGCTCACGAAACAATGCGTCATCCTTCATACTTATCGAGTCGGGTCCAGCTTAGGTCTCTCACGCATGGGTTGAAGGGTTTCGCGGTGTGTAGTAGTTACGATAGTTCTAGACCGCACCGATCACGAAATACGAATCACATATCAGAAATCGCGGACGCCAAGTAAGCACTGGTACTAGCACGACAGTATCCCACGTAACCGAGACGTGAGGAAAAGGCTAGAGAAATAGCAGTTCGTTTATTAAAATAAATCAAAGGGTTTAAATAACATAACATGTATAAAACAAGTTCACTGGTCACCCAAACCTCTGCCCATCGAGTGCTGGTATTTATGGCGTTGTACAGCTTCTGTCTGGGCCGTACGGCCTCTGATTAGTTGATACAGTCTGCCTATGGCTTGTAGTCCAGAAGCTGTGACACGTACGCTCTTTGCAGGCATCACCTGGGTATCTTGATTGATCACAGTTGTCCGAAAACTGTAACGTGTCGTCCCGTGGTATGCGTCATCTCGTAGGCTAAGATCACCACATGACCTCAATTATGTAGTGGTGAAATTCAACATGGCATATTGTAGTAATAGGAGTGGACACAAATCACTGATGAAACGAGGACTAGCAACGGCAATCGTTTCCTGGAATCTCCGATCACTCAGATACAGGAAGAAGGCCCCAGAAGCAGCGGTTGGTTTACTGAGAGAAATCAATGACAAAAATAATATGAACAAAGAAGCGTCATTGGCTGAACAGATCTTCGCCAATAATCTCTTTGTAATCCCGATATCACACAACTGATTGGTCGACACCATTGGCCTGTAAATATTTATCCGGAAACTACTGCTACGCGTCGTCCTGTGGTTGGCGCTGTCTCGGAGGCTGGGATCATCGCAACAACCTTGTGGTAACGCAATGTACCGTTGCATCACCAGCCAGGGGAAGAGATGATACAGTTTCAAAACGATCAATGAAAAGCCAGTGTCCTAGACCATCAAAATTCACCTTGTTTAAATCGGAATCATGTGTCGAGAAGAACATGAACTACCACTGGTCAATATTGCTTCAGCCAATGATATACTTTAATACATATTATTTAACCACCTTGATCCATTTAAATAGACTAACGGCTACTTCTGTGGTCTTTCTTCTGCGTCTCAGTGTCGGAAGTTTTCGGTAGACAATTACCAGTACGATTTCGTGTTTAGATTGTGTTATGCCTTGATGTCAAGACAATATAATCGATACGTACGCCTCTTTGCCTAGGCCCCAACAACTGGAGAACACGACAGTCAGAGTGTATTCTTGATCATGAAACAACAAGCAAATATATGTGGTCAGTTGGGCGTACGCGAGCAGACGTGGTGACGCGCCAATCGGATCGTGACCTTGACACTCAGGTTGATCGACCGGACGACAGATATTTGATTCGCCTTAGTCATCCAATCAGGAGTCGATCCGGGTTGGGTGTCACGAGCGCACTTGTAGTGTGACGCGCGTCGCTGCGTGGCAGGACGGATTTTGTGCGCTCCGTTCTAACAGATTGCATTTGTGATTCCGAGTTTTAAGTTTTGCATCTGTTTCGACTCCCACAGCTCTGTGACAACAAGCCCCGTGTTTTTCAGCCCAGAAACCAGCGAGATGCTGAACTTAGAGGTTGATGTGATCAAAGAAGGGCGTGCGGAAGTCACTTGTCAAATTATCTTGGGTCTGATTCTGAAACTGATTTTCTCTCTCACTGAATGAGCCAAAACTGTCCCGTATTAATACCAATTTAAGCAAGCGGATTCCGATCACTTATGTTGTGACCAGAATGCGAATCCTTTTGGTCTTGGATCGATGGCGGTGAACTAAGTAGACGGATCAAAACGCCTCGGCCACATTAACCACGTGGTTTGATCCTACTAGATGTGAGATAATCGAACTGTTCATTTTCATAATTACTCCACCATTCAAGCATGACAGGTGGTACTCACGGACTCGGACAGACAAACGTCTGCTCGTGCAATCAATATACTTTATGCCACAGGAAAAGGTAAACAAGTGCACACAGACGGAGACTATAAAAACAGACAATTTATATTCGAGTTCAAAGCACACGTGGCTCGAAAATGAAACCAATGCGAAGTTTCACTGCGAGGAATACTTTTTCCACAGCAGTTTATGTGTCACAATCTCGGCAGTTGTTAATGATATGTGACCCAGTTCCTTCTTAGCAGTAATGATCTTATTTGGCAATCAGTGACGTCTCAAAATGTTGTCTACAAATCACTCTGGGTATCTATTTTGAAGAAAAACGTCTCGAGAAACCTCAGTTCTGTCACAATGGAGTTGTCTGTACATTTTCTCCGCGCACTGGTAGCGAGACGCTGGATGAAGTTTATATTCCATTCTGAAGGCACATAGCTTGTGAAATGGATATACTGATGATTTCACAATGGCTTCCTGTGTTTATCGCGCGTTGTTTAGTTCTGTCTGATCTACGGCTTAGTCGAATGTCGAGAAATGCAATCTACTGATTCCCCTCGTTCTTTATCATAAACTTTACTTGGATGAACTGAGTTGAATACTTTCAAGAGTCCTTAGAAGTTCATGGTGTTGTGCGTTTAGTAACTCTTCTGTCAGTGGTTTACTGTAGTAATCGAATAAGGCGCAAGTTTTGAATCACGAATGCAACTGAAACACTGAATCGTACTGGCACTTGCACGCTGGAATCTCCTGTTACCGAAACGCAGGTAGCAGTTCGCAGAAACCAATGGGATTACATAACGTACACACGAAGCTTATTGGTTACACAGGTATCCACCAATCGCCTGCTGGGATTCTTGACGTCATACAGCTTCTGTACGGACCGCACGACTTTTGATTGGTCGGCACGATTCGCCTATGGTTCGTTGTTCGTAGGCTTTAACTCGTCGATCCGTGGCTGGAGTTATCTCGTAGGCT